AGTTACAATGTCTTTTTTTATGAAACAGCATTTGTATTATTGTATTGTAGTTCGCATAGAACTGACACATACCGAGTGTAGCTTGAAGGAGTTCAATTTATATTTTTTCTCAGGTTTGTATCACAATCCAATGTTGCTGTTTGTATCAGTTTGTAAACTGTAGCTGAGAGTCAATCTGATACAAACAGCAACATTGGATTGTGTCAATTTCAAAATATTGTAAGCAATCGTTGTGCATTTATGCGGTTTCTTTAATTGATTGGTCTTTTTGTCTTCTGACGAGTTATGATCATTTTGTATTGATTCGGATAAGATTTTATATTACAATGTGACACTATATTTTTGTAGCCATTGGAAATTTTAGTATAGTGGAACGTGTTAAACTATTTGTTAGCATAACAACATTATCAACATGACGCATGCAATAAACACGAATAGATTTATTGACCGCAACCGATAAATGTCTTAATTAAAGCACATCGTTACAAAATATTTTTTATACAATTATATACTTATAAGTATTGTGACTTTTTATATTTTATAAATCATTGTATACTAGTCAATTTAAATAGGGATGATGGACGACTGGGTAAAAAAAATGCAATTCTATTTAGCCCGTCAGTCAAATAATAGAAAAATATTAGAAACGTTTTTTTTTTATTTCAATTTAACAAGAAATAACGTGACGTCATGCGAAATTTCAACTCTATGTAACGCCGTAATTTTATAAAATACGTGTTTAATATTTTTTAACACTCTACCTGACGGACAAACAAAAATTAGTCATCATCCCTATTGTAAATATAATTGTTTGTTATTTAAAAACTTTGCTTTTAAGCGTCATAAAGTCGTAAATTTTCTGACTGTTAGCTATCAAAGATTATACTTTTGTTAACGTCATGTTTTGTTGCTTCAATAATAAATCATAAAGGCGTTCTTTACTTACTTACTTCACAATCTATGCCCGTAACGTCGTCTGTTTACTTCTAAATGAAGAAATCTATCTTATAAGACGATAAAATTTACGTATCATAATCTATAAATTCTATCGGGGAGTAAGACAAGTAGTAATTATTAGTTGTGCATGCGACTATGTATGCGTGGATAATTTTCACGTTACCTAAGTTACCCTTTACAACATGAGCTCTCTTCTCCATCATTTCCTCACTGCTGAGGATCGTGATTCCGTGTCATCTCGCCAACCATCCGTCTCCATCGGTTTCGCTCAGCTGCTTGGTGGAGTGCAGCACTGACCGGGATCTCAAGTACCTCCGAGACCTGGTCCGACCAACGTTTAGGGCTCCGGCCCCTGGGTCTTTTCCCCTCTATTTTCCCCATAACCATCAAGCGTTCCAGGTTATCGGTATCTCTCGTGGCCGAAGTAGTGTATTATGCGTCTCAGGCAGGTTGAAGACAGGCGCTGTGCTTCCTCTAGTTTAAGCTGCTGTAAAACAGAGACATTTGTGCGGTGAGCTGTCCATGATATTCTCAGCATACGACGCCAACACCACATCTCAAACGCGTCGATTCTCCGTCTATCAGCCGCTTTAATAGTCCAGGTCTCGGCACCATATAGAAATATGGAGAAGACGAGTGTGCGAACTAGGTATATTTTTGTTTTGTTGCTGATGTTCCTATCTCTCTACACTTTGCCCAATTGTGTCATTGCTGTCTTTTCCATGCCGATTCATCTTCGCACCTCCGGCTCACAGTTGCCCTTTTTTGTGATTACGGAGCCCAAATACTGGAATTGGTCCACGGTCTCATATCCATGCAGGAGGTTAGTGTTAGGACACGTTGAAAAACGGTCTATGACCATGACCTTGGTCTTAGCTTTATTTATGGCGAGGCCCATTCTTAAGCTGACGGTTTTTAACTTTTTGAGCAACTCTGCCGTTTCTGCTTCGGAAGATGCAAGTAGTGTGGTATCATCCGCAAATCGGAGGTTGGAGATATTAACTCCACCTATCTTGACTCCACCCCTCCAGCCCTCGAGCGTCTGGCGCATTATAGACTCACCATAAAAATTAAACAGGATTGGTGAAATTACACAACCCTGTCTCACTCCCTTTTGGAACTTGAAACGGCTAGAAGTAACGCCTCCTGTGGTCACTGTACCAAATCCAGATTCATAGAGGTTGCGAATCAGCATTATGAGGTGAGCGGGGACGCCCATTTCAGTAAGCACCTCCCAAAGCTTATCCCACCTCACACAGTCGAAAGCCTTCTGGTAGTCAACGAAACACTTGTATGTAGGTGTGTTGTATTCATGGCATTTCTTTACTATCAGACGAAGGTTCAGTATCTGCTCTCTGGTACCTCTTCCCTTGACAAATCCTGCTTGTTCGTGTGGAATTTGCCAGTCCAGAAAAGAGCGCAGTCTCGAATTGATAATGTGAAGTAGAATTTTACTAGCGTGGGATATAAGAGCTATTGTCCTGTAGTGCGTACCGAGCCTTTTTTGTAAAGAGGAAGGATGGAAAAGTGGACCCAATCTGAAGGCCAAACACTGGATTCCCATATCGCATTACAGATTTTATGTAAGCAAGTTATTCCATTCGGGAGAGCCACGCTTCGGCATGAATGGGCCGGCTCGACCGGAGTGATACCACGGCCTCACAGCAACGCTTGCGTTATATTTCGTCATGTAAGTGAGGGTACCGGAGGCCCATCCCTCTACCCCTCAACCCTTCCCTCCAAGGCCGGCAGCGCGCTTGTAGTCCCTCTGGTGTTGCAGGTGTCTATGGGCGACGGTAATCACTTACCATCAGGTGATCCATCTGCTCATCTGGCCCCTATCCCATAAAAAAAAAAATCGGGCCTAAACCTTTTATGATTTCCGCCGTGATGAGATCCGAACCCGGTGCCTGATTCTTCTTTAACTTTCTAACCGCCTCTTCAAACCTCCGAACGAAGTATGCTCAGTTCTGCCTCTAGCACACCTGCGTTTGGTTGGGAGGATTGAGACGCTTGATCGCGATACAGCTCTTCACAGTAGTTTCTCCATCTTTCCGCAATTCCTGCGACTTCATGTATCGGGTTGCCATGTTCGTCGTCAATCACCCACGATGATGCTTTATATTTGTGCGTTATTTGTCTAACCTTCCTAAACAGATCAGCAGTTTGAAATTTTTCTGCATGGCTTTCGATTTCGACACAGATCTCTTCCAAGAATCGGTTTTTGTCTCGTCTGCACAGTTTTTGAATTTTTCTGTTTAGGTTAAGGTATTCTTCCTCAAGATCTGTCGTTTTCGCACTTTTCTTGAGCTCTTTCCGCATTTGGATGTTGGACCATACCTCCTCTGACATCCAGTCCTTCTTGTTCTGAGGGGTTCCATCTATGGACATCAATACCTCGGACACTTTTGACTTGAAATGTCGCCACTGGTCTTCTGGGTTCAAATGTTTTTCCTCTACCTCGGTTAATATTTTCGCTAGTCTAGGCTCGGTTTCTTTTTGGAAATAATCATATTCGGGTTGCGTGAGCCGCTTTACTATCTTTGCGCTCTTTCGAAATGACTTGAGGTGCACTCTAAAGACAACCACTAGCAACTGATGGTCAGAGCCACAGTCCGCCCCTGGGAACGTTCTTGCGTTCGTAATGGATGACTTCCATCGGTTAGCCACCGTGATGTAGTCTATTTGGTTACGATATCGTCTACCAGGGGAAGTCCACGTATACAGACGTCTTTTGTGATATTTGAACAAAGTATTGGTAATTGCCAGATTATGACTAACGCAGAAGTCAATAAACCTCTCGCCTCAGTCGTTCCTAGTCCCAAGCCCGTATTTGCCTACTATATGTCGGATGTGTTCGTTGTTTTCAGTATTCCCCACCTTAGCATTCCAGTCCCCCTGTACCATTAGTATCTCACGCTTAGAGATTGCCTCGCCCGTGGACTGTAAATTATTGTAGAAGTCATCTATGTCGTCTTGGGTGGACTGAGCAGTTGGTGCATATACTTAAACTAAGTTAATCGGAAGAGGGGTGCAGTTTATGCGGATGGTCATGATTCTATCACTTACTGCATTGTAACCAGTGACGAACTTGGCTACTTTCCTGGGCACCACTACACCTATGCCGTATTTGCTCTCGGATTCATGGCCAGAGAAGAACAGTGTGTTTCCATTCGATGTAATGAGATGGCCTTTTCCTTTCATGTGAGTTTCACACAGTCCTAGTATTATGAGTTGGTGTTCGCTCATCTCTTTTTCAATGACCGCGAGCTTTCCCGATTGTAACATACCTCTTATATTCCAAGTTCCGATTCTGCGTTTGGGATGCATGGATGGTTTCTTGTCTTCAGTAGCATCCATGGATGGTTTCTTGTCTTTCATAGATTACTGGTATGAGAAATATTTAATTACTTGGCGACCGGAAATCTACTATATTGTATCTACTTGAGTATTTTATAAAATCTTCGACCAAGGATAATGTAGATAGAATGTTGAATAAAATTAACTAGAAAGATTTAGAAACCTTCGATTAGCTAAGATTAGAAGAAAGGCTCGGCTCACCTTCCGCAATCAAATGAAGCACATATTATTGGAGAGTGTCTCACATACACGCATATCGGCGATCATAATGAGAAGAATAATTAACTTTGAGTAGGAAAAACCATGAAGGACCATGCTCTATGATCAAACGTCATGACAGTTGTAATATGAGACAGACATTTGCAATTTTTTTTCGGTACGTAATATATTTTAAATAATTAATATTGTGTGGTAATTTTTTTCCAGTGTAGTACTGATCTTAACCATTTTACTCTCAATAACAAATGTTTTACTTTATAACATAAAACTATTTATATAATTCGATTAAAAGACAACACGATATAGGAAAAGAATACGTCATTTTATCCTTCTATTCTGGTTTTCCTGCAATCGTATGACACATAATTTTGAAATAATATTGCTGACTTTCAAATAAGTTTCGTTAAAGATAGGTCGTATATAACGCATAATTCAATATGAAATTATTAAAATTAACCTTAATCATGACTACTCTTCTTACGCTATCAATAAGTTTAGTAAAAACTACTGACAGTGTTTGGAAATGTTTCGGACCACATAATCATAGTGGTAAGTCTGATAAACATTATTTTCATGTCTGTATATTGTGAACCTTTAAAACAAAGTGACATACATATATTAATTTAAATTTCTTTATGCTCAATTTACACAAATATTGTATTTAAAATTGCATTTACTTGTTTACAGTTACCGTTGATAAGGTAAATGAAAAACGCATTTCTGTTTAATCCTGATAAGATGCGTATTTGATTTTGTGTACAGCCAAAGTAACAGAAATTAACTTATAATATTTTTTGCCTTTTGAAAAACAAGTTCCAATCATAAACTAAAAATATATTGGTTGTAATTTTCAGTTTTTCTTTACAATTACCGAGGTTGTATGGAAACTTGTAGTTATTATTTTGATAATGGCGAAGCAGTTTCTGATGAATTTAATGACATGAAAGTGAAAAAACACAGCAGAGAAACGGAACTGAATTCAGATATTGATAATTTAAATACGAAACAATCTTTACTGAAGCAATCAAATATAACATGTGAACACAATGATACTGTAATCCGCCAATTGGATTCGACAAAATGTAAACTTGGTATGTACCAATAATACATCATTATTTTCATATTCATTTTCGATTATAAATTTTTACTTCTTTTCAATTATAGTTTTCCATTTTGTTTTGATGCTAGGAGGGTCTGGATCATCCGTTGTCTAATAACAAATCGTGACTTTACAATTATATGCTCGAGTTACTTTATAGAATGTTTAGTTTGTCTTATTTTCCTGAATTACAAGGAATATTTACAACGTTATATTCACTTTCAAGTTTTTGTTCTATTTGTTTTAGAGTAATCGGATTAAGCTTTTACTGAATGTTACAAAGTTCCATTTTGCCGATCTTTATTTGAATATTATTCAGCAAAATTTTATTGGCTTTGTCTTATCTAACAATATTCGTATTTCTTCCAGATGCTGGTAAAGTTGCTATTTCAAGTTACGTCTTTTATCTGATAGGTTTTATTATGTTATTTTTAATAACGGTAATAATTGTCCTCGGTGTGCTATTTTATCGAACCAAAATGAACGAGTACAAAGTTTTTCTTTCACCAGTAACACCAAACACTACTTTGAATGTTGATGTTGCCCGAAAATATATAAAACAATCGTCACAAGAATTGAATTTAGTGAATATTAATTCGGAGACTAAAACTGATACAGTTCCGCGTGATTGCGAATTATATGACGAGTCGGAGACTACAATGTCTCCTAAGAACCCACTTAAGATTTATAGATCAGTTAAGAAACCCGTCAATCATCAAATGCTTCTTAGAGAACAAATGAAGAAGATATGCGAAGACGCATTGGCGAAATCGCAAAACTGTGGCTTGACGGCCAGTTTAAAGGATTTGAATCAGTTGCTATATGAATTTGATAACGATAAGCATGAGAAATCCTACGAGAGTATAGTACGTGAGAAATCAGCGTCATATCCACAGCTTGATATATATGATGAACCTCCAGCCAAGAAACATCCTATAGGTGATAATGAGGTTGATATACCCGTTTATGATTGCTTACCTACCTCGAACAGTATTGTCGTTCAAGATTACGAGACGAACTATTTTATGACTTTATCAAAAGACAACGGCACAGAGCCTGCTTACATAAATGCTAAATTCAGATACAAATAGTTGGAATAAAATTAAGTGTGTATTTATTATCGTCATGAAAGAAAACGAATGTATACAAGACTATATAGGAATACTAGATAGTTACAAAATACAAAAAGAAGTTTAGTAATCGATATGATTTTGATGATGTAGTTACATTTTCTAAAATTAAAAAAAAATCATACAGGGTATAACGACTCGGAGTAGGCAAATATAACTTTATAGTTATTATTATTTATTAGCTTTTGCCCGAGAATTTGTCCGCGTGGTGAAATTACTTTGAGAAGCATTTCCAAAAACGCCTAAAAAAACATTTATCCATAGCTTTTGCCCACAACTTCGTTTGCATGTTTTAGTATTTATTTACAGTTTTTTTTTTCTTCTTACTTCAAAATATATGAAAAGGTTTTCGACTTCGCTGTTTATTAAATAAATAAATAAATATTAAAACAACATCACATACATTGCTCAGATTCCAAGATGAGTAGCTAAAGCCCCCGTATTATGGAGTATCTAAGACAACGAAGGTACCACAACACCCAGACCCGAGTCAATATAGAAAAGTTCATTTTCTACATATACCCGACCGGGAATCGAACCCGGGACCTCAGAGATGGCGACACCTTGAAACCGGCGTGCGAACCACTCGGCTACAGAGGTCGTATCTATATTCCTTTCTTTTTAAAGTATATTCTTGAAATAATCCTATTGAATCTGACAAAATTAGATCAGTTATTTTGTTATAAATTAAGAAAATCTGGAAGAAGTATATCGCCTTAATTAACTTGATAAATATGAATGAATAATTCTTATTTTCGAAATAAACAAATTTAACTTCATTTGAAGTCAGACATATAAAAATGTAGCCATCAAATCTTCACTCGAATAATAAAATTGAGTATTTATTGAATTTATATTAATAAGAATTATTACTCGATTCTTATGAATTAGTTTTTTCTTCAAGTTTAGGTTATTTTAAAATTGATATAAAAACTAATTATTGGTTTTAAAGAAAAGTAGAAGCAAGTATAAGAATGTAGGTAAATAAATACATATTCCCATACAAACTTGTGCCTGTGTTTTCATTATTTTCATAGGATTCGTATGAAATTTATTCTATATCTTGTAAGTGTCTCATACTTTATCATACCAAATTTAATTAAAATGGTTTCAGACTAAATTACTTTCGCAATTATATTATTAGTAAGAATAGTTAAAGGTAAAATGTATCACTTATCTGTAAAACAGGTAAAGTTACAAAAATATCACAACTTGTATTACATATACCAACTTCAAAAGCTTGATGCCAAAGTGAAGGTTTATTCCTGGGATTTATTAATTTTGAGTGGGTTTTTCTGGTAGCCAGCATAAAGTTATAAACCCTGTTCCATTATTCTTGTACTATTTTTCACCGTTAAATATGTTAAATGTACCTGTTTTAATAACAATACGAAAAATGAGGGTTTTAAACTTTTTTGAGGAAGAGGACCTCCATGAAAATATGGAATCCTTTTATATATGTTATCCTTCTCCAACACTACATAACCCCAACATTACTCCGGATAATTTTCTTGGGTCGGTAGACTGCCAATTTCGTCTTGAATTGGTGTTTCTTGATAATAATTATACGCTCTCTTACTAGTAAAACAATAATTACTAAAGGTTTAAAAATATGTAAAGCTACCGAATATTTTTTTAAAGTTAGCTGTCAATTATAATTACATACATGCACACAAAATAGTGATTAGAAATTGATTTGATGATAAACATATTTGCATACTCAAATAAACGTCAGAAGACGGTAAAAAAAAAATATTTAAATATATAATTTTTAGTTATGATATGACATCGCGAACTTTCTTAAAGATAAGTCAGAGCTCTCCAAATTTTATTTAAAAAGCATTCGTATATTTCTAACCGTTTTGGCAGCATTCACATATAGAGGCGCCCTTAGATACTTCTATCCCTATGGATTCTTTAAATGGGATATAAAGCCTCCGCCTTTATGTATAAACCAGGCTGTAGAATTCCTACATACCAAATTTCATCAAAATCAGTTCAGTATTTTTTGCGTGAAGAAGTAACAAACATACAAACATCCAAACATGCAAACTTTCGTCTTTATAATATTAGTAGGATAATATATTAGTATAGCTGTCTCATAAACAATAGAAAAGTAACAAGAAAAAGTGCATGGCTTTTTAGCAAACAAAGTTTTTAGCAAACCTTTTTCTTACGGAGACAAAAGATATGGTTTATGGCTTTTTGTTTTTATTCTGCGAAGAAAAGCCGAGATTACTTTGTTGATAGAAATTATTCTAGAATAGTTTTACTTTTTTTTAAATTTAATGGCGACAACGGTTGTTATTTTGTAAAGTTACCCTCGCAGAACTGGTTTTAAAAATATTTTTTGTTTAAATTAAAAATTAGTTTAAATTTTATAAAATTAATTTAGAAGGGAACCAAAATGAACGATAAGATATAATCATGTAATTTTGGAGAGAGAAAATATTTTAATACCTACGAAATTTTTGTATGATACATTATAATTTATGTTTTGTTTTTATAACAATGATTTTTATAAACATTTATTAAAATATTACATTTATACTTGGACCACTTTTATTATTACTATAAATCAATGATTTGCCTAGTGTTACTAACCAAAAGTGTATCCTATTTGCATACAACATTTGTTATCAGAGGTAAGAATTGAGATCATATATTGAATTTCCTGTAATTTAAGAAATCACTGTTTTAATTGCAATCTGAAATATTCTTTCTTTTAACAATATTAAACTCTTTACTGCAAGACATTAGCTTCGAATAATTTAATTAACTGATTAATCATATGGCTGCGTATAGTTAGCCATGGCTGTGTTTATTCAGGACGTTTGCACTGTTCCTTTGATCTGCTGTTTACACCATTAAGTATATTATGAAGTTTAGACCAGTGCAAACTATAATATGTTTTACTTATTTATATTTCCTACGTGGTATCATAGCATTCCTTATCCGAGTCCAATGGTGTAGTAGTCACCGCGTCAGGTCATAAATTACGAATGTTAAGCAACTTCGCAAAGTCAGCCACAGGATGGGGGACCAGAAATGGTCATGGCTTCATCTGCGGTTACCGTACTGCGTTGAGCTAACGTGGAACCCACCACGCCCATGTTCACTATGTTTCTTTCCTTGGCTAAGTCCGGTACCATAGCAGTGAATACATCACTTGGCTAAGGAATCAATTTTTATGAGATATAAATTGCTTTATATTAGATTTTTTTTCAAACTTATTACTCCTTGCCGTGTATATATTTAAAGAGAAATACAGCTGTATTAATAAAATATATCAGATTTTTTTTTCGAGAATATTATTCCCTATGGTTTAAGCACAGATAAACTATGTTTAGGAGTCCTAATAAATAGTGCGTGCATGTTATGGCTGAGGCCACTTCAAGATATCGTATGAAAATTGTGGCGCGACTGCAGCACTTCTATAAGCTTCCGATATTAAAGACACACTCATATCGGTCAAGTACGGCACTACTTGGATATCCATCGTCACTTGGTCGTTCTAATGGCTTCTAATGTCTCCTCTAAAAATACTTATTCCATGATAAATCTGGAGAACATTAATATGGCTTACGCTAGCTTTATATTACTAACCTATACCGCCATCCTGTATGGTCGGCCATATTTCATTTAGAATGATGTCATATTATTTTTCTAGTTACTCTCAATGAGCCCTTTCATTAGATACCCATATTGTAGAAGTGCATTATAATAACTATTCCGCCATCTTGGATGGTCTGTCATATTGGATTTAGAATAACGTTACACAACTTATCATGTATTGTCATCTATACTAAGCGTGTATACAAAATTTCAGCTCAATCGGTTCAAGATATCTTCTACTTCAAAGTCGAATTCAAACGTTCCACTCGAACAAACATACATACAATGCAAGTTAAAAGCCTTTAAAAATAGGAATATCCAGAAACATTTTTAAGCATATAGCCGATAACTCATTTAGATTATATTTTTACAATTGATTCTAAGCCTTAACCTGTAAAAGTTAAACTCAAAATTGATTGCAGTTCGGCATTGTATATTAACTTGGGGTATCTTCCGATATACACTGCGACCACTGAACAGTATGACGTCAATTTAGTATACTGGAAGCCCGTTCCTTTATAGCTACTTATACTGGTAACTTTTTAAAACGGAACGCAGTCCAGTATACTGTTAATCCTATTTTTTGGCGCCATTTTCAAATTTGTTAATGCAAGGTGAATATAAATATAAAGATTCCCTCTTTTCAAAAGAAAATATTATAAAATTGGAAAATTGTATAAAAAAATATTTATTCATCTTATAATAAATGTAAGTATTTTTTTTTTGTTTATTTAGAAACTTATCATTTTCTGATTCTGTTTCGACTGATCACGTGATCAAAAACACTGCGAGCACCTTACCTCGAAATCTCCAGTGCTCACAGTACAATTATGGCGGCAATTTATGACGTCATGAATTTCCCTAGGGTACTGTAGCAGTGTACTGACAGTCCATAATGGAACGGATTTTTCAGCAGTAAGACCACTGCGCAGTGCTCGCAGTGTATATCGGAACGTACCCTTGATGTTCGTCTGTTTGTTACAACAATATTTATTAATCAACTAGTGCGCACAATCACTATCTATAATTAAAATTGAAATGTACCTCGTATCGATATTCGAAAAATTAAACACAATATGATCAAATGCAGCTTAGTGTGTTAATACTTATAAATCTACTATTTTTTCGCCAGCGTCTTTGCCCGCGTGCTCCTGTATATATGGATGTATATAAATCTTCCTCTGTATATAGGTGATAAGCGCATTAAAATCTTTGTGTATATTAAATTATACGGTTAAGAAAAATATAACTTAATTTTTTATATGATTTTGTGTTGGTTGATTAGATTATGGCATGTAGATTAATCATTTAGAGTTGGGTTGCCTAGCTAAATCAGTTGCCATCACTGTTAATCTTCGAAATTCATTAATTATTTAATGAAAACCGAGCATTAATCGCGGGAAA